CCGACACGCAAGTAGCGCATGCGAGGCTGCAAAAGGCTGGTCACCGGCCTTTAGGTAGTATGTTCTCTCTTCTTTGCTAGCAGCCGATTTTTACAGCGCGCGTGCCATCGTCGTTCGCGCACTGCCCACGATTCTCTCTCGCCCTGCGATCGCCAATCGCGTCAGATTTCCCGGAGAGATCCGCACGGAATCGTAACGGCCGACGCCGAACAACCGGCACGCGCGAACGATTCTCATTGGCACCGGTGAGATCCCGAGGTGGAATCGCCGCGCGCCTCCTGAAAATTTCCAGCGTGGCATCCGATTCACGCGTCCCTTGGTCGCGCTCCGTTCCCTTCCCACAGGTAGGACTCAGTCGGCGCCTCTGCCGTTGGGCCATCCGATGCTGCAAGGTGGCATCATGGCGCCGCAGACCCATTACGAGGAGTACCTGGCCGAGAAGCAACTGCACGATCAGCAGCAGGCGCACAACTACCTCAAACAGCAGATTCGTCAAACGGTGTTGACGCGTGTCGGATCTCGGGGACAGGCGAATCAGCTGGACGAAGCACCGGAGAACGACGAGTCCGCCGAGGTGATAGATCTCACCGGAGGCAAGAAAGATTTGTCGGAGGAGAGCGAGATCTCGAAACAGCAACGGGATCGCGAACAGTTTCTTCAGCAGCAGAGAGATCTGATGATGAGACACACCTTGCAAATATCCAACGAGTCGTCGACGGCCTACGGCGGAAGCGGTACCGGTGGCGGCAGCAGGAGCAGTCAGCCGAGTGCCAGACCGCTGTCCAGAGCGCTGTCCAGCCCGTTGGTTCACTTGAGTAAGCTGACCGCCCGCGATTCCTTTACCTTTGCTCGCCTTTAGGCGGCCGCGTTACCTCGTTCGTCGAACGGCCACCACCGTCGTACGCTGCTCCACGCTCTCTCTTTGTGTCTGCTTAGCGCGCGACGCAGGTCCTCAGGGAAGCCAAGACACCACCGGTGATCTGTTCGCGCGCGCTTCTTCCCATCGATCCACTACCGGTTTGGCCTACGATCCGTTGATGTTGAAGCACGCCTGTGTCTGCGGCGAAACGGTTCGTGGTCATCCCGAGCACGGAGGCAGATTGCAGAGCGTCTGGGCACGGCTGTCGGAGACAGGACTGCTACAGCGTTGCGATCGAATACGTTCGCGCAAAGCCACCCTCGAGGAGATTCAAACGTGTCACAGCGAAGCTCACGCTCTTCTCTTTGGTGAGTGCCGCTGCGCCGTCACGCGTCTCCCATACGCGACGCTCGGTTCTCTCGTTTCCTCGTTTCCTCGTTTCCTCGTTTCCTCGTTCCCGATCCATCCTTCAGCCCCGCATTTCTGCCACTTTCTGCCGCCGCCTTCCTACGCCGTAAACGTAAAGTAAAGTAAAACGTGCTGTCGCGCGCAGGAACGAATCCGATGAACCGACAAAAGCTGGACGTATCGAAGCTCTCTCAACTTCCGATCAAGAGTTTCGTGCGGCTGCCCTGCGGCGGAGTAGGCGTCGATTCCGACACCACGTGGAACGAACTGAATACCGCGCCGGCCGCCCGGATGGCTGTCGGTTGTGTCGTCGATCTGGCCTTTAAAACCGCCATGGCTGACATTAAGAACGGTTTCGCCGTCGTAAGACCGCCCGGACATCACGCCGAAACCAACCAGGCCATGGGTTTCTGCTTCTTCAATTCGGTCGCGATCGCTGCTCGATTGCTTCAGCAGAAGCTCGATATCAGGAAAATCTTGATCCTGGATTGGGTAAGAGCCAAACCTATAGCCTCCTTTCTCTTTCTCGTTTTTCTCGTCGGTTTTCCTCCGTTCGCGTCGCTGCTCGTCGCCCTGTATTATCGCGATCGCG